CAAGCTGTTTTTGCATATTTTTTGCGATAAAAAAAGTTCCAAATTTCTCTCGTGTCGTTTTGCCCGCTCTTCATGAGAGATCTGATAGATGACTGCCGGGACTAACATTAACCTGACGAGGTTTCGTAAGCGGAGGGCCGTTTGACATGCAGAAGTGCGCAGATGCGCATTAATGCTGTTGTTGGGCAGCGAACATCCTGGTCAAAGAACATGGCAAATGACATCTTATTTCTATATCTAGTCAATCAGCATTTTACGATTGCATCCCTCTTGTTCTGATATCACATAACGCACTACAGATCCCTGCCACCGAGGATACATTCAATGGCAGAATGGACATTCCCGCCCGTCGCAAGCAGCGCACGGATGTTCTGCTGTGCATTCGTGAAGCCCATGTCCTAGTTGCTGTGTGAGACGGACGGATAAAGTCAGCGCTCGTGGCGCCCATGACAGGTTGTTGTTTCGCGCACGAGGCACTTACGGCTGCACCTGGAGCCGCTCCTCGGACGACCGCGTGTATGCTAGGGATGCGGGCGGTGCACCATCGCCGAAAGCGTCCATGCTGCCCCAGCATCTGCTGCATTGCGGCTGGATCAAACATGCCTGTGTACGGTGGGCGCACCGCCGGCGCCGCCTTATGTGCTGGCACCGGTGTTACTGCCGCCGTCTGGAACGCCGGTCATGGGGAAGCCGTCTGCGCCGCCACCGCCCATCGAGCTCGACATCTGCCGCATCATGCGCAGCGACTCGGGGTTCGACCTGCGTGTGGCGCTCAACGACGAGCGCGACCGAGGCCGCCCACAAGAAGCGGCTGTGTACTCACATCAATTGCCTGAAGCCCTCACTCTGGAACATCTCGCACATGGGCGAAGCCATCGCCGCGATGACCTGCTCGAGGACAGCCGGGTCGGACATGATGGTGGACATCTGGTTCAAGAACTCAGGGTTCTGGAGCATTCCCTGCATCTGCATTGCCTGATTGAAGGTAGAGTCTAATAACGGCAATGACATAGCACACGCACCATGTTGGGGTCATTCGGGTTGAGGCCCATCTGTGGGAACGGGCTGAAGCCTGCCATGGCGCCAAAATGCGCGGTGGCCGTTGAGCTGTGTGAGCAGGCCGTTCGGGCTCTAGCCGGTCTGCATCGTTGGAAGCGGTTGTGGTGCGGCCCGGGAGGTCTGGCCTGGTGAGCGAGACACGCCTTTGACCATGTGGATGGTGTGTGACGACTGGATCTTGTAGACAGTAAGCTGGTCTTCATCGCCTATAGCTCGCGTCACAAAAATCCCAGACAAAGAAAGGTCTGAATTCATACAAAGGAAGTTTAATGTCTTGGCTGTGTATTTGTCTAGAGCATGGTAGTACAATTATACACTCCGAGGTTGCACCCTGAGGGAGGGCGCTCATGCCAGTAGCTAGTGTTGCCACGGCTTGACTGCTTAGCCGCTAGTTGTTGCAGTCAAGCCATGTGGCAACCAAGCCAAGTCGCTGATTGGCTCTTGGCTGTTACGCGGCTTAGCTGCGGCTTGGCGCAACTCGGCGGTGGCTTGCAGTCAGGTCCAGTTGTCCCAAAAAGGCAAATGCCGCGTCACCTTGCTTGCCACTATGCCTCCTCGCAACCATGGAAAGAAGAGAGCTGCTGAGACCCCTCAGAAGACACCTAAGAGGCAAAAGGTGGCCTCTAAGCATGTTGAGTTTGACAATGGAGCTGTTATGACCCAGTTTAGGCTGTCTGGTGCGCTTTTTTTGAGCTTTTGTGCAGTTTGATGTTGTCTGCTGATAACATCTTGAATTCTGTAGGTGAATTCTCATCTGAGGGTGCTGTCCAAGGTTCCCCAGCAAAGAAGAGAGGTGGTAGGAAAGGTCCAGGGGTTCAGAATGTTGCTGAAAGAGAGGTGCTCATGGCATTCGCGTCGCTCCAAAGAGGCCGTGCCAATCACCAGCACGATCCAAGTGGGGAGAGCTCGATAGACAAGTGCGTGGTGACCAATACTGCAGATTGCTATGCTCTAATGTTTGGATCTTTGTAGATCTGTTCCAGTTGCTGATAGTCGTGAATACATCAACATTGATATTGCAGACAACTCTGAAGACTCGCCTACTAGTCCAATGCCAGCTGCAGGCTCTTCACATGATCTCCTGCCTGCTCCTGCCACCCCAACTTGCAAGCCAGCAGGTCCTCCCAATTCACCTGTTGCTGGTCAGCGTCAGAAATCGCCTCATGGGCCTGCAGGCAATAGACAAGGCAAGCAAGCTAAGGATGTCTGGCCCTTCTTTGAGACAAATGAGAATGGACGCAAGAAATGCAAGTTTTGCTTGTATGAATTTCTTTCAGCTATTTCTTTGCACTTATTTCTAAAAAAAAACTCGCCAGGTTTATGCATGAACAGAATCCTCATTACCATGTGTCCACCTGGACTACTGCAGGCACAGACAACCCCCGAAAGCACTTCCGAGATGCTCATCTTGACAAGTGGGTGGAGGCGTGCGATAAGGCACAAGTCAAAATCACAGCAAAGTGTGCTATGGCACAAGTCAAAGCCTGGAGGCGACGTCAACGTGGACAACCAGATGTTGCACAAGCAGATAACAGCCAGCCACAGTTCACCAAGGAGCTATTTGTGGATTACATTACTGAGTGGATTGTTGCTGACGATCAGGTGTGCTTGAAATCTACATTTTATTGCGCTTTAAATCTGAATAAATATTTGCAGCCTTTATGCGTCATTGAAAATCCACAGCTTCGCAATATCTTTCTTTTGCTTTGCTCTGAGCTGCATGAGAAAGATATTCCTGGGCGAACCACTATCCGAATACGAGTTGGTGAGGTTTTCGAAGAGTATCTCAAGGAGCTTAGCCAGGATATGAAGGTAAGTGGCGAAAAAATTACAAAAAAATTCTGCTCTAATTCCTAATTATAGAATGCAGTTGGCAGCATATCCTTCACAATGGATATGTGGACTGACCCATTCTTATCGCCGTACATGGCAGTTACTGCACACTGGCTGCAGCTTATTCTTGAAGATTATGGTAACGGACTTCAGCCGCAGCTTCGACTTCGTGCAGATCGTATCGGCTTTTACCGTGTCCCCTCCAGACACACCGGTGAGCATCTTGCGGCTGCATTCCTTTATATCCTGGACCGTATCAAGATCACAAACAAGGTACAGCCATTTTAACAACTTAAAATGATTAAACCACTTACTATCCTTTAAAAATATATAGATTGGCTGGATTACAATGGACAATGCAACAAACAATGACACCTGCATGGAGGCTCTTGAGCAAACCTTGCAAAAGCGTGGAATTGCTTTTGACAAGCTTCAACGTCGCATTCGGTGTGTATATTTCAATAAATCAATTGCAGTTTATTGCTCAAAATAACTGTAGCTGCTTTCCACATATTGTCAACTTAGCATGCCAAAGTGTTCTTAGTGCTATAACTGAACTTGAGTATGTCAAGGAAACGTCACAAGATTTCGAGCCAGAAAAGTTTTCACCACGCAATTTTCTTGACGCAGTCAAACGTGACCCTATCGCAACTTTACGTTCTCTCATTAGAGCAGTAAGTTTAATTTAATCTATACAAGATGGTGATTTGCCTTACCTCAATGTATAGATTTGTGCATCTGCACTGCGTTGCCAGCATTTTATGCAGATTTTAGTCAACATGGATATGGCCATTCTGCAGCTTCTCAAAGACGTTGAGACACGGTGGTCATCAACATATCTCATGATAGATCGGGCTATTCTACTTCGTGAGGTAACAATTTATTTTGGCATACTGTATACTTTCAGGCTTATTTATTTATAGGCAATTGAACAATTTCTCTATGGTTCAGAGTTTGCAGAACTTCGCAAGTATAGCATGAACAATGAAGAGTGGAAAGCTTTAGAAGTATTCCACGAGATCTTTCAGGTAAGTTTAGTTTTCTTTATTTATCCAAGTAATAAATTAAACATGAATAGGTTCCACATGCGTTTCAGCAGCTTTTATCTTCAGAATCTACGCCAACACTCATTAGTGTTTTACCTGCATTTGAAGCCATGAAGCTACGCTGGCAGGAGCAACAGGCAAAAGTAT